GGGTCACCTGGTCACAGAAGGAGATCAGGTTAAGCTGGGCCGGTGTTAAAGGGTCGTCGTCTCTAGAACAATTACCGCTCTGCGCTCCCCGATCCCCAATGCCGCTCCAGTCACTGGGCTCACAGAGATTCCCGAAGGATCTGTACCTTCGTTTGAGATGATGTTGTTATTCAAATTTTCTAGGCAAACTTGCTGTATGCCGAGGATTTTCCAAGCAAGCGCAGCCCAAACGTGATCTGCCGAGCCTGGCAGCACGCTCCGCTTACCTGCGGGCAGGTGGGTTTTTTGAATGACAGGCTTTGGAATTTTCCAGCAGCCGGTTTCCTCATCCCAGGTGGATTCGCGCTTGATCTTCTCCAGATTGCTGTAGTTGCAGTCACGGCGGACGAGGGACTGCGCCTGATCCAGCAGCTGCTGGAAGAGCATCAGGTCTCGCTCCAGGCGGCGGATGGTGCCAAGGTAATCAATCTTTTCCAGCTCAAACTCCGACTGCAGATCTTTGATCTCGGTCTCGGCAGCCCGCAGCTGGGACATCAAAAAAAAAAAAAGGAAAAAATCATTGGGATTATAGAGACCGGTGGTTACTGCGAGTACAGGAATTTGTCAGGCCGAGGATTGGAAAGATACACACAAAAGCTTCACTATTTGTGAAGATTTCTCATTTATAGTTAAGAATTAGGATGAGATTTGTGTGGAGAGATTATTCCACGTCTGTTTTAATGAAAGATTTCTCGTGTTTCTCCAAAGTGCCCAGTCTCTGAATGGACCTTAAGCCGAATGTTTGCTTGATCTCACTAGTGTGGGCTGTGTCCAGTGCTAACCAGCTCTTGGGAGTTTCTAATTTCAATGAAAAAGGTGCAATGTTTCTTTGATAACCTAAATAAAGCAAGTTCTTAACGTGCAGGTTTAGGACTACACACGCAGATTTTGGGGGAAAAAAAACCACCTGATTTTCAAGTGTGCCTAAAATCTAAGAGAGTTGGTTTTATACTGATTTTTTTTCCCCCCAGAAGACTTTCCACAGCGTAACCTCTCCCTGGAACCCAGGCGTGGTAGCAGAGCTGGAGGAAGCTGTGCAATAGATTGCGTAGGTCAGTAGAGGGAGTCGCATCCTCTCTCATCACCAGACAAACTCTTCGCCCAACAACGACACCGGCCCTTAAAACCGCGGGCTTTTGGGTTTCAACAACTTAATTCACCTCCCTGAGGGCCGCTGCATCTGGTCCTTCATAAAAATGCACCCAAACGAGCTTGTAGGTACTAACGCAGGCCCGTGTGTGAAATATTTCATGCAGCCAGAGTCATTCTCTAAACATACTGCCCTAAACCACCTCTTTAACCTAAAAAAAAAGGGTACGCAGAGGAGGAAAGAGGTGCTCCTTAAATCTGCAGCAGGGGTAAGAGGGAGCTGCTCACCTTCTTCTGCATCTTCTCCAGAAGCTTGCTCTTGGCTCGAACCTCCTCCTGGATGGAGTCGTAGACGTTAAGCAGAACCCAGTCGCTGCTGTCCTCGTTCGATTGCTGCAGCGCGGCCACCAGCTGCATCCTCCGCTCGGCCGCGTATTTTTTCCGGCGTTTGTGCTTTTCTTTGAGGTCCTTGTTTTTAGCCTGTTCCCCTCCTACCACCTGTCGCTCCAGCATCTGCAGCCTGCAAAAGGCAAACGCTTCTCTTAGCTCAGCACTGCAAAGAACCATCTGCGTAGGCGTGGAGGATCCACGTCCTGACCTGAACGACGTTTGGGAAGACCCGGTACAGAAACAGCGATTTCTGACGAGATTTGCTGCCCTGAGTAATCCTGGCAAATTCTAGTTCTATTCACAGTTTCTGCCGTAGATACTCCTGCGGACCCCAGGCAAAACGCTTGTTATTCTGAGCACCTCTGTCAACAAGTGTGTCTAGAAATATCTATCTACGCTCACCAAATTCTTTTTAAAAACCCTGTTTTGTGGTATTTAAATTCTTATTAAAATACATCTTGAAGGTATTATTTCTATTCTTACTTCTTGTTTTGAAAGAATCTTAAGGCAAGCACACAAAGTGCCAAAACTACACCAACAAAATATTTTGAAATGGTGGATATGGGAGCTGTATGGCTGGAAGCCACAGTAACAGTTTCCTTTCTGGGGCAGCATCAGCCAGGGTTGATGACTTGGGCGACCTCAGCGCTGCTGCCCGAGTGCCGGCACAGGCCCACGTTTGAAATCAAGCTCGCCCCGTGTCTGCCCCCCAGGGCCCCGTACGCTCCCACACGGAAAGAAAGCCGCGCTCCAGAGCCGCTCTCTTTGTCTTCACGGGGCTCTGCAGCAGAGCAGATAGCTCAGGTTGGCCAGCGCTGGCTCAAATTGGAGACAATCCCACTGCTGGTAAAACCTCGGCTGATAACAGCCTCTTAATTATCTTCAAACCCATCCGAAAGAGCTCGCTCTCCGCCAGAGATGACCCGCTACTCTACGGTACTGCACTTGCCAAGCAGCCTTCGGCTTCGTTTGCTTAATGCGCGATTGAATCCTTGCTCTGCCGAGCGAGTGTCAGAGAACTCGCAGCTGTCCTGATGTGTAAAGCTCTTAACAGGGGGCTTTGAAAATCCCCATGCCTGCGGAACCAAACCCTCCCGCCTGATCTGCGGAGAACTTTGATTTTCACAGTGTAATTAGAAGAGCGTTTTTCCCTTGTTTGTCACAAAAGGGAACGCCGCAATCAGCCTATTAAGATTTGATATATAGTCAAAACGAATGGTTTCTGTGGAGACCTCTCCAGTGATGGAGAGAATTGCCCCCAAATTACAGACACTGCTATTCTTGATTTCTTAATAGCTCCTTTTTCAGCTGGGAGAGGTCCAACAGAGCGAGCACACGCCACAGCAGCTCACAGTAAAGCTGAAAGACTGGTTAAAAACCCACAGAACTTTGCAGAATCAAACTCCATCATCCGCAAGGCATTTCTAATTTAAATATAATTCCACGCAACAGAGTAAAGGAGAAAAATCAGCAGAATTTCCTCAAAGTGTGTATTTCTGAAACAGCCCAGTGCTCCAGGAGCGGGGTCTAATGCTGCCCCTAAAACGTGACCATTGGGGAATTTCGACGGCAGTTCTGGCTGACGTTTTGCAAACATCGTCAAATGTGTGAGTTAGAGGCAAAAGTGACCTCAGTGACAAAGGAGGGTCGCGGAGGATGCGCTCTCCTCCATCCACAGGCACAGCAAGCAGCAGGAAGGCCTGCTACCTTACCTGAGGGCTCTAAGTGCCCTTCAAGAGCCATTTTGCAGAGGAAAAGGAGGCCGCCTCCAAAACCTGTTTGGGCCCTTAAGCTCTGTCAACGACCGCGAGACTCAACTCCATAAACACCTCACAAATTACACCTGCAAAAAGCCAGAGAAGGAAGGGACTTCCCTGCCTGCAGATCTGGGATTTGTTATCAGGGAAGCACGCTTTTCTTGCAGCCACATCTGCCGACGCAGACATCTTTGGATTTTTCTCTCATAATTCTGGCACTTGGCATCATCGAACGCCGCAGCTAAGAGCTATTTATCCAGAAAAAGTTAATTTTGGGGTAAAGAATACGCATCTGCCTGGGTTTTTTTTTGCGCTGAACGAACAGCTGAAGCTCGACAGTTGTAATATCGTGGAAGAACAGGGTTGCTTCTTGCCTGCGTGCGTTGTAAGCAATGCCCAGGAGGCAGTCAGCAGGAGCAGCGTAGTCACTGACCTGGCGAGGACCTGCTGCTGCTCTGCAGGCAATGAAACCCCCTGGGCAGTGACAGCCACCTCTGCTCCAGCGCTCCCGCCGTGCACACCGCCGGCGTCCTGGACAGTCCAAGGCCCTGCTGGGTCCTGAGGACGAGAGGAAACCAAAGGCCGCAGCTCTGAAAAGACGCAATGTGAGTACCGGGGTAGGTGAAGCACGGCGCTACCTGCTCAGGTGCATTCAGCCCTGGGGGGAGAAGTAGCCTGGAGGGTACCTGGGCTGACGTTGGTCCTTCATCTGCTGCAGCAACAGAGTCTTCAGGCAGAGGTGTCTGGCCAGGGGTAGTTTCAGTCCTCATGGCAGCTGAAGAGCAAAAGGGGAAAACCCCACAATGTCAGCAACGAGCTCTGCAAAACTGGAGCACAAATCTGTGAAAACATCACACAAAGTCTTCACCAACAGCTAAGAACTATGTGTCTGGAAGGAAAAGGCCTGTTACTGATGCTGGTCAGTAAAAGCCATCAAAGACCCAGAGGGTGTATCAGCTAAGGAATGCAGATTTTACTGGCCTGGGTTTACACAAATAATGTATCTCCGAGGCCAGGGGCTTCATGAGGGGAAAGAAAAAGAACCTCTCATCTTAGAAAGCGATAGCGTCAAAAGTGAAAAATACAGGTTCAAGAATTAATATTGGGCAATAAATGCTGTACAAGCACGTCGCAAAACATGCGCTGGGGTGCTGCGGAACTATAAATGAGAAGCGGTGAGGAAGAGGAGAGCTGGCAACCACTTAGAGGTGTGCGAGAGGAATATCCACCCTCCAGCAAAGCGATGGTGGTGATAATCCACCGGGAGACCAAGGGCTGCGTCGCATTTGCATGCGATGGAAGAGACTGCCGCAGCCCCCCTCGGCTGGGGCGCGCGAGCTGCGCAAAGCCAACGGGATCAAGACAGAGCAGCGCCTGCCGAGACCCGTCCTCTCTGCAGCTCCAACCTCTGCTGGAGAGAAACGCTGCCCTAAGGCAGAAGAAACTCACAAAATAGCATTTCATCGCCTCAAGGCTTACAGGGGAGGGCCAGGCTGGTCCTGACAGGGAAAAGGGATCAGGGAAATAGGGAAGAGGACAAAGCTGGGACAGACAGTCTCATGAGTAGCCCAGGAGAGCCAGAGGTACCACTCCTGCTGTCAATAAGGGAAGGTCGAGAGCAGGGACTGCTGTTGCCGCCAGGCAGCACTTGCTGCAGTAGCAGCAGCTGCCACAACTCTGACTCTGCAGAAACAGTCTGTGTCTGCTCGGGCCGAAAGCATCAGGGAACGCTCAGCCTGCGCTGCGCACCCTCCATCTGCCTCGTCCACACCTGCTTCCTTCCTGAGGTTCTCCTCGAGAGCAGACAGCTTGAGATCGTAGTGACTCCTCAGGCTACTGATGTCCTCTTCGAGGCGGGCACGGGACGCCTGCTCCGCTTCGTAGCTGGCCTTTAGCTGGGCCAGCCTCTCTTCGTACTCCTGAAAGGCACAGCAGGCAGCCTGTCGCTACGGCCCTGCTCCTGACTGTACACAAGGTCACATCTAGGTCCACTCTAGGTCACGTCTTATGGCCCCCCCAATAAAACTTCACCATCCTGTATTCCCTGACATGGAAGCCGACGCACTATTGATGGAAGGTGACTAGTTAGCGCTAGAAACCGTTATCTTGGGCAGATGTGATGCCCTGGAAGGAGCTTTGTAAAGAGCAAGGAGAGAGTTTTACTTCCTTCTGGCCCCCAACCCCTCGTTCTTCCTCCTGGCTCCATATCCCCTCTTTATCTTCCTCCTTGTGCTGTTCTAACATCTTTGGCTATTGCTTTCCTCCTCCTTTTTCTCCTTCCTCTGACCGAAGTAATCTAATAGTTACTTCCAAAATTCTTCTTGGGAATCCATTCCAATTCATCTCCAGAGATGATGGGAACAATGCTGGGAGAAAGTGGCATTGGAAATAAGGTCTCCACCAACACACGTTCTGTCCATGGGAGAAGCCCAAGGACAAAAAATAGGAAGAAGTGTTCTGAAAGGGCTGAACCACACAGCCCTACACCATATTTATAACAATTATTATAAAAACCCAGAAGCCTTAGTGAAGGACACTATGGGATACCCCCTTGTGGTGGTTTGGTCCTGGCCAGATGCCAGGTACCCACCAAAGCCACTCTCTCTCTCACCCC